GCGTGGCTGTTTATGGCAGATGAGAGAGTCATCCAGAAATTATAGCTCTGGAGCAACAAGTTGTGAAGAAACCTGTTTGTGCAGGAATCCACCCTGAGGGCAGTGGGACAAGGCAGGAACAAGGAGGGTCTTGGAGGAAAAAAGGGCTGGAGATGACCAGCTCTGGTTGTAGGGTATGCTTGACAGGAGATGAAAAATGAATTTATGGTGAGAATCATAGAATCATTTATGTTGGAAAAGACTTCTAAAATCAGTGAATGTTATTTTAACTCCACACTGCCAAGCTCCCCCATCCCTGCAGAGCTGCTCACCCCCGTGCATGGCTGCCCTGGGATGAGGAATATCCTGCCTCTGCTCAAAGAGGGAATCCACTGAATTGTGGTGGTTTCCTTCCCTCATGAGCATTTCCTCACCTGAGCACTGTGGCAGGGAAGGCAGACACACATTCTGCACTGTTCCTCACCTGGATTTTTTTTTAATTTAAAATACTCATATTTGTTATGAGTCCCTGCAGAGGTGTTCAAGTCTTGGGGTTTTGGTGCTGTAGGAGAGGGAAGGATGTCACCAAGGCTCCATGTGGGCTGTGTGCAGGGGACAGTGATCCCCATGCAGTGTCTGTCTCAGTCCTCTGTCCAGATTGCCCCTGCTTTGTTTCCTTTGCAATACAGCATATTTTAGTGGTGCCTAAGTGGGGTTTTTGTCATCAGGTCCCATTTACTGGTCCCTAAGGGCCTGACTGTCATCCCAGTACCGTGTGAGTTCCCCCTGTAGGACAGTGATGTCAAAATCCTCACGTCTCTTCTCCTTTTCCCTTCCTCTTTTCCTTCATCACTCATGGCTGAGTTGGGTTTATTTGGGTGAGATTCCAGCATGGCTCAGTTGAGTTTACTTGGGGGGGATTCCAGCATCCATCTTGTCATGCTTTCCCCAAGCCCAGCAGCCTTGGGGTCCTTGTTAGCAAATGCCAGCAGGAATCCTGACTTAGAAATGTCTCAGGAGTTCATGGAGGGAGAGTTTATCTTCCAGCACTGACCTTTGTGGTTGAACACAGCTGAAGGTGTGGGCAGGGTCTGTGTGAGCGTGGCAGTTTGCAGGAGAAGGCTCCAGACACACATCCCTGCCTCCTGCCCTGCCTCAGCCTGGGCTGCTTTGGCTTCCAGCTCTTGGCTCCTTGACACAAAGCACTTGGCTGAAGGTGGAGGAGCCTCCCACACGCATGTTAAATGGGGATAAAGGCTCTGCTGAAGGATGGGCTGAGATAAAGCCTCACTGCCTGAAGAGGTCCAGCTCCTGCTGTGCCAGCCCTGCACAGCAGCTCCCAACTCCACAGCACCAATATTGGCATTGAAAGATCCTGCTGGGGCTGCTCTATGAACCCACATTTTTTATATCCTTCTGTGTCCCCTCTCACATTCCCTCAGTGCTTTTCAGTGCTCCCAAGGCACTGTGGCACTGGGCAGAGTGGGCCTGAGGCTCCCCAAAGCCTGTCCCTCAGGCTTCACCTGCTGATCAAAATTCACAGGCTCAGAGTCTTCTCTGTAAGAAAAACCACAGCAAATTCAAAGTGAAGCAAGGAAGACATTAGCCTGCCCTGTTCCATCACTGCCAGAGCTGCTGGCTGCTGGCCCTTGATCTCCATCAGCACAGGAAGGAGCTTCTGTAGTGCAGGGATGGAGGATGGCTGGGGCTGAAGATAAAAGGTGGTTGGCTGTGACTTACAAGCACATCTAATCTTTGCACACCTCTCCTGACCTTGATCTATCACAGGGCTTCCTGGGGACGCTTGGGATTGCGAGTTTTGCATAGAGGAAGCCTTTGAGCTGGAGGTGCTTAGGCACAGTCTCAGAGCTGTGAAGTTGCCCTGCTGCAGGATGGATTCCCGTGCACTTGGTTGGGAAATGGCACCTGAAATGAGTCCTTTGCTGCCAGGACTTCCAGCAGCAATTCCTGGCAATTCTTGGAAGGGGAGCAGATGGCCCTGCTGAGTCAGTCTGATGGATCCAGAGTCAGGGGATTCCTGGTCAGGTCAGCCCATGGCTCTGGGGACCAGGCAGCAGCTCAGGCTTTGCTCCTGCTCCTGGCATCAGGTCACAGTCAGTGTTCCCTCCCCTCCATGGACAGCACAGTCCCCTGGCAGTTCTGCAGCAACAGGCTTCCAAACATCTGCCCCCAGTTCCTGTTCTTGCCATGGGATGTTGGTGGCCAGGGGAAAGGCTCCAATTCCTTCCAGCCTGCAAGGAATTAATGTGGGCTCTGCAATTCCCACAGTTCACAGCAGCCTTGGACAACTCCTGACAACCCCCAGCATCAGGAATTTTGTCATAGGTTTCCAAAATGTGTTAACTTTTCTTGGTGATGCAGTATCTGGAGTCTGGAGGATTGCAGACATTTTTCCTTTTCCTTTTAGTGTCAGGGTACTCCAGGTTTGTGTAAAACAAACTTGTTTCCAGGCAGTTCTTGCCAGAACACATCAGGATTTGCCTGTGGGGAAGTGGTTCAGGGTCCCTTTGCTGTTGTGATGGTGAAGGTGCCTCTGGCTCCAGGTGAGCTCACCTGAGCTCCTGGAGGAAGGCAAACACTTAGCAACTAACCATGGCTGAGCAAATCATTTAAATACAGCTTTCTGAGCCTCCTGCTAATTATGGGAGCTTTCTGTTTCATTTGTAGGGTCTGGAATGAAGTGTTGGCTCTGGAAAAGCTTCCAGCTTTTTCTGTGGAATTTTCAGGCACCACATGGAGAGGTGCCAGGGCATCCCAGCCTCCACACAGCCCTTCCAGGCAGTGGAGCAGCCTTTGGCATGCCCGTTCTCCCTCCTGGGAGCAGTGTGCAGTGTTCAACCCTGGTCAGCAGATGAAAAATTACCTTTCCATTCCCCACCTGAACAACCAACCCACTGCCAGCTCTCCCTGCAGGTGTGAAAGCCTGACCTCCAGTCTTGAGAGATGCAAATGAGAGTGGCCAGGGTGGGATGTGGGGTGTGGGGGCACAGAGAGTCTCTCTGGTTCCTCAGGTGGTTGTTCTGGAGGTTTCTGTGGGGTTTGCAGGAGTATTTTCCTAACAGGATGCCCCTGGCCATGCCAGGTCCCGCTGTCACTCGGAGCAGCCAACTGGGTTTTCTGTGTGACTTGGCAGGAAAATTCACATCCATTTTATTGAACCAAAGGGAAGAAAAGGGGGGAAAAGTGCTGGCTTGTAGTAATAAAGGGCTTTGGAACATCTCAGCTGGATATTTTTCTTCACGAGTGAGAAGGCCAAATGTTATCTTGACATTTAATCTTTAATAATAAAAAAAGGCTCTTTGTTTGCCAGCGAAGTCCAAAATCTGTTTACTCTCTCATGCCTTATTTCTTTGAACTTGCTAGCTTAGATGTCCTACTTACCCTCCCCTGCTACCAGTGCAGAGCTGTGGTGAATCATTTCTGGTGCAGAGCTGCCTTCCCTGTCCCCACAGAGCCCCCAGCTGCCAGGTGTGCTTCTCCTGCCCACCTCAGTCATTTGAGCACTGGGGTCCCTCTGGGTGGGCGATGCAGGGGAAGGGGCCAGGGCAGCAGAGGTGCAGCCTGTGCCCACCCCAGCACTTTGGTGAGAGCACAGGGCTGGCTCCAGGAGAGCCCTGTGGTCAGTCCATGCAGCTCTGGCCTGGGCACAGGTCACTGCAGGCCACCAGACCTCATAACCCTGGTTTATGTGGGGATCAGTGGGAAGTTCAGAGGAAAAGGCTGAAGCAGCCTTGGGGCAGCCTGGAAGGTGGGGATGGAGGTGATGGGGTCGGTGCCCAGGGGGTTTGGGGCAGGCTGTGGTGTTGGGCCATGTCCAGCCCCGCTGGCCATTGTGTCCTGGCGCTGCCCACGGTGGGGACACGGTGGGGACACGGTGGGGACACGGTGGGGGTGGGCAGAGCAGGCTCCCTGTGCCCCCAGGGGCCTTGCAGGTACCACCCAGGGGTAGCTCCAGCTTCCCGCAGCCATCTCCATCCAGCTCCTCCCAGTCTGCTGACTTTCCTTTCGCATTGAAACTTCTTCCTCATAAATTCTACATCCAAGAGCAGCCGTGAGAAATGCCAGAAGCCTGATCATCTAACATGCTTTAATATCTAAATTTCTTCTTCAGTATCATTCTTATTTACATTGTTTTTCTTTCTCAAAAAAAAAAAAAAATTAAGGGAGGAAAAAAATTAAATTTTCTTTTACTTCCACTTTAGGAGGTGAGTTGTCATCCACCCTCTGGAATTCTTTTTTTGCTTTTGATCTTTATTTATTTGTTTAATTTTGGTTGATGTCCCAAGCATGGTTTTGGAGACGAAGGTAGGTCTTCGCTCTCCAAATCAAAAGGAAAAAAAAAAAAACCTAAATAAAACAACACTCTCTTTGGTCATATTTAAAAGAGAAAAATCCAAACTGTTCCATTCCATATCATTTAAAGAAAAAAAAAATCAACTACTGAACTATTTCTACAGCTTACTGATCTAAAAGGGCGGGTTTTTTCCAAAAGTATTGAATGGATCCAAAAAACGATTTTCCTAGACATGATTCAAGTTATTTGCTGTCAACATTTTAATATCAATATTACCACAATGTGTAGTCTCAAACTAGTTCCTTTGTAGTTTGCATGGGATGTGAATGCTGTCTCGGCGTGCCCAGACCTAGAGAACTTGTTACTACTGCATGAGCATCAAGTCAGATGTTGAAAAATACCTATTATATTTTGTGATAATTTGGTGAAAATGAGCACCTCCAGTCTCTGGTTGCAGTAGTGTGTTGAATGATTGTTCTTTTTTTTTTTTCTTTTTTTTTTTTATATATATCCATATATATATTTTTGGAGCTCTAAGCTTCGTAGTAGTCCGGGCTGACTCTTCTCCAGTACTTGCTCTCCTCTCGCATGGCCTTGGTTAAGTGTTAGAATTGGGCCTAGGCTGTTTATTCTGGTGTTTGGCTTTGTAATTCCGGTGCATGCCCGGCGTCTGGCCTCATACCCAGCTTTATTCTCTGCACACCAGTCTTGAATAGCTACAGTGCTCAACCGAATTTTGGCGCACCCGCTTCCCCGGCAGGCTCCACCCCAGCGCGGCCCGGAGGCTTCCCCGGGGCCAACAGCCCCGGGCCCGTGGCGGATCTCTACGGCACGGCCAGCCAGGACTCCGCCGTGGGCAACTACATAAGCGCCGCCAGCCCGCAGCCGGGCTCGGGCTTCGGCCACGGCATCGCCGTAAGTACCCCGTGCTGGGGGCTGGGGGGCTTGGGGGGTTTGGGGTGAGCTTTGGGGGTTCAGGGCGGTGGGGACCCCGGGGCCAGTGCGGCTCCTCGCTGCCACAACCTGCGAGCCGTGGGTACCAGCTGGATTGTGGAGCAATCACTGATTATTATTATTATTATTATTATCTGGGCATTGCAGCTGGCATTGGCAAGGGGGAGAACCTCCAGAATCATCAGGTCCAATCAGCCCTTGAGAACCAATTGCCCTTTTATCACCAATTTATCATTATTATCACTAATTGCCATTTTAACGAGATTATACTTTCATGGGGGCACTGGCATTGCGCCAGCATCAAACCACAACAGCCGAATGTTTTGCAGAGATAAACAAACCTCCACAACTTTGTGAAAGTTGTAATGTTTCCAGGGATGGGGACTCCACCACTGCCCTGGGCAGCCCATTCCAGTGATTAATCACTCTTGCACTGAAGAAATTTTGTCCTAATATCCAACCTGAACATCTCCTGGTGCACACACTCCTTTGGAGCTGTCTGCAGCCAGACATGACCTGTCTCAAAGAGAAATATTTAATAAATACGGGATTTAAATCCCTGCTTGTCCACATGGGCTTTACACCAGCCCAGCTACCCCTCCTGGCTGCTGCACCCTTTGGCAGGCACTGCAACAGTCCCTGCTCCCCCTAAACGAGCAGAATCAGCTCATTAATTTGGCTGGTGGGACCCCCAGCAGGGGGACAGGACATGTCCTGCTCCTCTTCACCTGTTTGCTGCTGTTTGGGGTCACTCCAGCCCCCAGGAGCCGCAGGTTGGAGCGAGGGGCCGGGCTGGGCCGGGGGGTCCTGGGAGGTGCCTCCTAACGCGCCTAACGTGGGGCTGTGATTGCACTAATGAGGGGCAGAGATTGGCTTAACAAGGCTGCACGTGGCTGTGTCACCTGTGTGTGAGCATGAATGGGGCTGGGCTGCCCCGTGGCACCCCAGCACAGACTGCAAGGAGGCTCCTGCCCTTTGGGAGCACAGGCAGGAGCTGCATTTATCTCCTGCACAGTGAGGAAGTGCAGAGGCTCCCCTGAAGGTCCCTCAAACCCAGAGGAGAACTTCCCTCCCTGATGGAATTGGATGGGGGGAGCAGGAGTGTGGTGCAGACAAAGCTCCTGGAACTGTTATTTTTATTGCAGGAAAGACAAACTCTCTGCCTGGCTTTGTGCCCGTGCGCTCAATTCCCATCCCGGGCCTGCCCCTCCCGTGGTCACACCACGGACGTGACAATCCCTGTGGATCAATTCCAGCACAAACATGGAATATTACTGCTCTGCAAGGAGCTGCACCCGTTCAAACTGCCACCTGTCACCACTTACAACACCTCTTATTTCCATTTTTCAAGTGAAAGGACTCCAGGTCCAAGCCTGGGTATCCAGATTTGTCTGCACTAACACTGCCCAAAGAACCATTTTATAATTGACTTGCAGATTGGTAGCCTCTTAATTCCCCCAATAACTGCAAAGAATCCCATAGCTTTTATTACATATATATTTATTTAACACTCTCCATTTACTAACCCTGGTTTAAAAATAAAGAAGGGAGAACCCCAAAGCTTATTTTTGCACCTGGGGGAATGAGAAGATGATGGTCTTGGAAAGGTGACCATAGGGCTGAGCACACCTGGTGACCAGAACAGCTCTTGGAAATCCCTATTCATGCTGGCAACACAGTCTTTCAAGTCCTTTGATAATTTCTTGGCAAAAATTAATAATCAGCTGTTCCCATGTATAGAGCACTGATGAACTTAACAATTGTACAATTTTAGGGACCTTTGATTGCAACGGCTTTTACAAATGGATACCATTGAAACGTTACACATGGTTGGTTGCCATCTCACTTGGAGGTATTACAGTATATCCCATTTGTACTTTGTGCTGAACTACCATCTCCCCTATATTTACTTTAAGTGAACAATTTTTTATCTTCATTTCGTCTTTCCTTGGCCTTTAATCATTCCTTTCTGTGATTTGTGTTACTCAATTCAACCTCACGGGCTGGAAACTGGAAGACAGATCCAAAGCTAAACCAAAAGTCACTTTTTCATCTTCATGATGCTTCATGCAATAATTTGAAGAGGCAGAAAACCCAGGAAGCTGTGGGGAATCACCCCCAGTGCCGGCAGCCAGAATCCCAGTGGGATCAGAGATCTGCTCCCAGCGCACTGCTTTAAAAATAGCTGAGCCCCACTGCTTTATTACTGAGAAACCATCATTCTTAATTAAGTGCTGTACCAAATATTACAGCTAAAAGATAACATTGTAACTTGTAACCATAGAGCAATTATCAAGATTAAAAAAAAATTAAACCTGAGCAAATTAAATTAAAGGCATTACCTGAGCACCGCAGCCCTGGATCGCTGCCAGTTTCCTACCCTTTGAACTAAGCTCCAGTTAATTAAATGTTTAATTTTTATTTTTTATTATTATTTGGCCTTTGGCATATTCATCTTTGCAAACAAATATTCTTAACACTCGGAATGGAATAGATTAGAAAATGCAATGAGAAGCAGAAGTTATCCCAATTAAATGGCACGGGTCTGCCTCCAGAGCTCTGGGCCCGGACAGGCAGATGGAATGGATGTGGCAGATTTTATTTCCCTGCTTCTTGCCCGGTATTACATGATCAATGTCACATCATTTACGTTCAAAAATCAGTCTGTGAAATTAGAATTAAAGTTAGTCAGGGGGCTGGGAACTGTGGAAAACGTTCGGAGACTTTAAACTACATAAAAATAGATTTATACGTAAACACTAGTGGATAAAGGGGGTTTCTATTTACTCTCCATCTCCACACACACCCCCAAGATTACCTGAAATTGTTCTGTCAATTGATTTGCTCCACCAAGGAGTGTTTTTTATGGGAAAGAAAAAAGTGCCATAAGCACTCTTGCTTAATCCCAGCTATTACTTGCACGTAGCAGGGCCTGTTCTGTGATCAATTTGTCAGAATCCTTCACGTCAGCCTCTGGAATAGTGAGGTGGTACCCGAGGCCAGCTGGAGCCCGGGCAGAACATCATCACTCAGGCTAATAATGCACAGCCCTGCCAGCCTGATGGGCTGTAATCACTCCTCACTCACACAGCCCATCACTGCAGCCATCACTCACTGGCCAGGCTGAGACTCGAACCATTAACGACTTAAAAACAAAGTGCTTTTAATGTTGCTCATTACTAATTAAAATAGATTTGGAGAGGAGGAAATGAGCCTTATTATTAATTCCTCGAGGAACACTGGCTTTGAAACGCTTGTGGCAGCGGCTGCTCCTGCATCCCCGGGGCAGGATTTGGCTGAGCCACGGGTCCTGGGGCAGGGAGCAGTTTCCACATCCCTGCAGGATGCTGCTGGGAGCTCACCCCAGCACAGCTGTGTGGGGATGGGCTCTGGAGGTCACCAGGGAGCATCCTGTCCTGGCCCTCATCCCCGGGAGTGGCTGCCTGCAGAGCCAGTGCCCCAAATATTTATATTTCTCTATATTTATATTTCTAACATAAATAATACACATCATATATCACAGCTTTAAGCACTGGCAGGGACGGAGTGTTGGAGGCTGAAGCTCCTGTATAAAATAAATCCTGGCTGCCTCAGCATGCCCAGGTAAAACTTGTCACCTTCGAGGTACTTCAGAGAAAACCCATTTTACCAGAGCTGGGTGAATTCATGGCAGAACAGATGCCTGAGGAGCCGTTTTTGTCCTGGCCATACATCAACTCACATTTTACTGTTCCTAAACTGGAAATAAGAGCAGGGAATACATGAGACCCCCCCTCTCCCATGGGGGCTGTCCTGGGAACACCTCAGCATTCCAGCCCCCTGCATCCTCCCTCGGGGTGGATGGGGCAGGCTGTGGCTGCAGTGTTTGCAGACACTTTGGGGTTTTTTGGTTAAAAATCCTAATTTACCTCAATTAACTCCCTCTCTGTGTCCATGTCCACCCTCTCTCCACGCAGAGTCTCTCTGGATGTCCGGGCAAGACAGGGCGAAGTTTCTGAAGGGGCCCACGGTTGGGTGATCTCATCAGACTTTGAGCACTACATCATCATCACCATCACCATCATCATCATCACCGCCAACGCAAACTGGAGGTGGCACTCGAAGGACTTGGGTGGTTTAAAATCTCTCTCATCATCTCATGAATCTGCTGTACTATAAAAACAACAGCTTTTAAAAGTATGTATATAAAACCCATTTCTTGTTCGTTTTATTTTCTCGGTGGGTTCCCCCCCCTCTTTTTAAGCCTCTCCAAACCCACATCTTTTCGTAGCCTTTTGGACATAGTCTCGTAGCCACATAGTCGCAATTCTTTGTGTATGTAGCAAGAGCCTAACCATAGTGTAACTGTTATATTAAGGGGTTTCTTTTGCTTTTTCTTTCCCACCTCCCCTCCTCCTCCTCCTCCTCCTCCTCCCTTCTGTTTTATGTAGTTGTTGTTGCTTAAAGGATGCTGAGATGGTGACAGGAGCCTGGGCCGCGGGGCAGCGGCGGGCAGGGCACGGGGAGGGGGGAGCAGCAGGTTCTCTGGCCCTTCTTTTCCTTTGTGGCGTCTTGGTTACTCTAATTCTCTCTATTTTCGGCAATAAGGCGAGGGCGACAAACTTTTTGCGCGTCCTTTTTCTATATAAGTGCTTTTTTTTGTTGAAAGAGGTGATATAAGGTTTTTTGAAATTGTGAATTCTGAAAAAAAAAAAAAGAGAAAAAATAATAAAGTGCTGTAAATACAATTCCATTAACTACATAGAAACTATTAAGAAAGAGAAATACAAACCTATTTTTGTGATGGAGTCAGCCTAAGGCAGTTTCTCTATGGAAATGGAGGAGAAAAGACAAGGGAGTTGTAGCCTTTGGGAGTGGCTGCCGGGGGCTGTGGTGCTGTGGGACCCTCCCAGCCCACCCAGGTCACACCAGCAGTTTGCTCTCACACGTGCACAGCTTACAAAGGAACAGTCTCGTGGGGTTTTTATTTTAATTTAAAACCTGCTTTTCCCAAAACTGATCAAGAAGCTACGATTTTTCCTACTTAGCGCATTTACGGTTCAAAGCACACCTTGATTTTGGTTTTGTTTTTTTTTTATTTTGGTTTTTTTTTTTAATCATTGTTTTAAACTAGATCAACTTGCTGTCCAGTCATTTCAGCTGCTCTGGGCACCCCATGTGGGCAGAGCAGCGTCCAGCTTGCATGGTTTCCTTTATTATCCATCACTTCCTGTATTGTCAAATTAGAAAGCAACTTTGGTTGGTTTTGATTTTTTTTTTTCTTTTTTTTCTTTTTTTTTTTTTTTTGGGAATACCTCAGTGCTACAAGTTTCACCCTAGAAGCAACGGAAGATTTTAATTTATTGTAGTTGTAAACAGAATTTAAAAGAAATAAAGTATAAAACATCATTGCACTGTGACTGGTAGGGGAAAAACTGACAGTTTCCTATTTGCACATGTTTAATATTTGGCTGTTATATATATGGTCCTCTGTTGGGGGAGGAAACTTATGAAGGATATTTTTTAATTTAATTTTTTTAATATTGGTAAATAGGCCTGCAACAGCAAACTAGAAGTACAACATGGTAGGTGGCATTAAGAACATACTGTAGTGTGGATATATTTCTTCTTTTTTTAACGTAATATTGACAAGTTTTATTAATATTTTTTTAAATTGTTACGTTTATAAATTTGGTACTTTAGGTACAGCCAGTATAAGACACTGAATGCGACATTTGTTAAAAAGAGCTGCTGCACTCCTATTTTTGTAAATTTTACTAACAAGTAGACTAATGTAGACATTCAATAGACAAGGTAGAGCAAGGCATCTTTAACAAAACAAGGCACCATACTGCTAACCGAAAGGAGAAACCTTGTTTTTCTTGTTTTTAAAAAAAAATCATGCTTTTTATGTAATATTTTAGGTTTTTTTCTTATTTCAGAACAACCAGGTTTAAGCAAAATGCTGGACGCTTTTTAAATATTGAGACTTGATCAAGTAATAAAAGAAATAAAACCGAATTCTTTAAAAAATAAAAAGGTAAAAAAAAAAAAATACTACGAACCAAATTCCCTGCGATTCAGTGTGCCGTCAGGGAATTTTTTATTGCTATTTTGTCAATGTTGATGATGTACTGTACTACCAGTTGGTTTTCCTCTCCATTCCCTGTCACCTCATAGAATATTCTTTGTTGATCATTGTTGTATGTTAATAGTGTATAAAATGGCTTATCTTGTAAGAGTGCTGTCCTGATGGTAGTGTAGTGAATTTTTCCCCCCCTCTTTCTCTCTTCCTCTTCTAGTACATATTGGTAGGTGTATCGTAATTAAGGTTAAAAATTTAGATGTAGTTATTCAGATTTAGGACCAGTAAGGATAGAACTTTCTCTTATTTAAGAAAAAAAAAAATGCTAATAATTTTGGGAAGGTTTTCCTTTTTTGTTTTTTCTTCTCTATTTTCTTTCTGTGCTTTTTTTTCTCTTGTTTATTATTTTTCTTTTGTTGATCTGATGCGGTTTCAACTAACCAAAGGTCTCACAATGTTAAAAATGCTGGCAAACTCTTAAGGCATTTGTAGATCCCCACCCATGACTTTGGAAAGGGGATGTGCCATACTACCTTAAATGCTAATGCTAGATATGCAAAACTGGATTTTTTTAATTTATTTTTTAAAAGAGGGAGGCACGGTATATTAAAACGATTTTACTAAGAGAAAAAAAAAAACATATTTTTTTAAGAATGCTCAGAAGAAATTGCTAATCTGTGTGAATATGTTTTAGATGTTTATATACCTTTTGAGAAGTCCCAGTGGCCCATAGCACAAATGTCGTGGAATCCAAGATGTTTTGATGTGGCTACCTAGACTAAGGTTCACGTTAGTCCCCCACTCATCTAGAAATCAATTTTGAAGGATTTTTTTTTTTTCCTTTTCCTTCGTTCGTTTGGGGGTTTTTTGTAAATTTTTCAGCGCAAAGGTTCAGCTCCACCTTTGTTTTACTCAAGCCCAGGAGGGAGTGAAGGATGGTGGAACCATGGCCTGGTTTGGGCTGGAAGGACCCTGAGGCCCACCCAGTGCCACCCCTGCCATGGCAGGGTCACCTCCCGCTGTCCCCAGTGTCCAGCCTGGCCTGGGACCCTGCAGGGACAGAGCCCTTTGTCCCCAGATCTCCAGCTGGGGTGACCAACAGGAGCCATTTCCACCACCTGGGTGACCTGGGCACCCAAAGGGCCGGGGGGCCACGTCCCCACCACCAGGGACATTCCCCAGGAGCCACAAGTGCTTGGGACCCTCCCCTCCAAATAACCCCAGTCCTTCTTCGGGACTGGCTTGGTTAAGGCAAAGCCTGATCTGTCCTTTGGGGTTTTTATTTTTTCTTACACTTCATAAATGTTCATTTTGAGTTGAATTTGTAGCTTGGACTTTAAGGTAGCATGGCTCTCTTTGCTGTAAGTTGATTTTTTTTTTCCATTGTACAGCAGCGTCTGCTGGTGAATGTCACACATCTTGCTAGGCTTAGTTAAATCATTGGGTAATTGTGGGTGATAACGACCTGAAAGGTGTTGGGATTTCTTTTCTTCCCTGGTTTCATCTGTAGTGTGAATGAGGGCTAGCGACTCCAGCCACACGTCCCTTCCTGTTTCGTTTCTGCCATTCACTCAATGCAACATAATCAATAATAAAGCAATATAGTTTACTACATTTTTACTGAAGGCCAGCCATGGTTCTGTATGATATTGCATATGAAACTGTTTACAAAAACAAAAAAAAAGAAAAAAAAAAAAAAGAAAACACTAACTCATAGCTGTCTTTTACGCTATGGCGATGTCTCTTGGGTGGAATCTTCTGAATTCTTTTTTTTAGTGGTTTGGTTTGTTTTTTTCAAAGCGACATAGTTGAGAGACAGGGAGAAGTGAGGTTAGTGTCAGAAGAGCCAGGATGCCTCGCAGACACACGGGCACAGACACTGTAGAGTTTCCTACGTGCAGAATCCAGCCGGCCCCGCGCGAACACTATGTGAGGAGATTCTGTAAGCTAAGCAATACTTTAATACTGTAATAAAATTACCAAAAAAAACACAATAATAATAAATAAATAATAATAATAATAATAATAATTTTTAAAAAGGAAAAAAAAAACCTTAGTCTGAGAAAGCAAATCCTCGTGATGGGTTGTCGGCCCCCCCCAGCAGTCCGACCGTGTTGTGTGGAGAGCTCGGTGTCCGAGCAGGGCCCGGTGGCCAGAGGGGTCACCCTGGCCCTGAGGGGTCACCCCAGCCCAGCAGGGTCACCCCAGCCCCGGGCTCCTCTGTCCCGTGACCGTCGTAGGTAGCACCCCCGTCATTCTCTGTCGTACGAGGTCTGAACTCCCATCAGTACTAGGATGCAAGTCAGCATTTCAGGTGGTCATAAATGTACCTAAATAAACTATGGCACAGTGGCAGGCCTAGCCCTTCCTTTTATACTTTAGTATGAACTGATGAGAACTTTGGTAGTGACTTTTTTTTTATATATATACATATATATATGTATCTATATATATCAAGCATCTTTCAGGTCTCTGTGTATGGCTTTCTGAAGCCCTGTTGTAAAATACTATGTGGATGGGGGTCTCTCACATCACAGATGTGGAAAGTATAATTTTATATTTGTATTTTCAAATAAATAAGTTTGTGAAAGGTTTCCATCCTCTACTGTGGTCCAGAAATCAATGTGTTTGTCTGACGAAAAAATACAATAAACTGTTTTGAACAGATCCATGGAGTCCATTTCATTGGGGGGGGAGAATATTTATCTCTGGGGGGTGAGATCAGCCCCATCACCCCAAAACTCATCACCTTGTTGCCTGTCCTGCACATCCCTGCCTCCCTGCCCTGTCCCTGTGCCCTGCCAGGCACACCTTTGGCACCATCAGCACTGATGCTGTTTCCAGGAGGGGCAGTGGGTAGCCCAGTCCTGCGGGATAAATTCCCAGTCCCCCACACCCTTGCTGTGTGTTTTCCTCACGGGAGTGACCCCCTCTCCCAGCTCAGTTCCACCGGAGGCTGTTTCCCTTTGGCTCTTGGCCTGGAGCAGAGCCAGCTCCCCCCAGCACTCCCCTGGCTGTAAACACTCATCACTCATTAGTCCTCATCCCAGGCTCACAGGTGCCTTTCCTGGGGAGAACAGGGCACTGTTCTCCCGTGGGACTGGGCAGGGATGGAGGGATCCGAGGAGGGATCCATCCCCTCCATGCTGAAGGTCAGGATGCAGGACGGGCTCTCTGCAAAGCAGCCAACACATCAAGCCCTTAATGGGATTGATGATTAGTGGAGCACCGAGGGGAAAATTAGATTAGGAAAACAAATGAAAATAATTTCGGAAGTCATGTTTGTTCGGGGTGGAAGGAGCTTCCACTGCGAGGGCTGCAGGAAACGATTTGACTGCAATCCAGAAGGAAAAAAGGAGCGCGGGTCTGGAGTACATTAGTGTGGTGGGAGGCCGGGAATAGCAGCCACTTAACCCTGTCATTCAGCAAACATTAGTGAATTATGAGTGTATTATATGTGGGTGATGTGTTTTGTGCGAAGCCCGCGGGCCCGCTGTAGCAGCGCTGAAATGGGAGTGGGGGTCGGTGTCAAAATGTAAATTTTTATACCAGCTCTGGAACAAAAATAAGATTTTGTGTTCGCCTCCCAGCTACTGAAATCAAATTGCAGCCGAAATCAGAGTTGTAAAATAAGCAAGAATTTCCCTTCCCTGTCAAATTAGTGCCCCAATAAAGAAAACAAGGGAGATAAATGTGATTTACTTCCTCTCCCTCCTGTCATAAACATTTATGGCCGAGCTGTAACGCTGAGCTGCAGGAGGCAGCTGGGGCCACTGGGGTCGTGCAGTGTCACCCCCGTGGGGGTCTTGGGGCCCGGAGCTCCTGCACCCTGTGCCACATCCCACCCTGTGTCCCACAGGCTCTGCCGCACCCCAAGCCACAGCTGCCTGTCCTGGCTGTCCCAAAATCTCAGAGTAAATCCCAGGTTTTATTAACTTGCAGGACTTGAGCACCCTCTGCTCTTGGGCAGAGCTGCGCATCCCCCATCACACAGCTCGAGGCTGCAGCAGAACCCAAGGCAGCATTTGTTAATTATGAGCTTAAGCGCTCCCTTTCACGGCTATTTACAAGGGCCGCCTCATTATTAATACAGAATAATGAAACAGAGGGGTTTAAAACTCATTTGTTCCACTGGGTACCGGCCCCTGTGGTGGCACGAGCCTGGATGCCACCCAGCCTGAGAGCACTGAAACCCTGATGGGGATGAAACCCACCCCAAAAAACCCTCCCCTCTTTGCCATCCTGCATTAAATTATTTCAGATACCGTCAGAAATGAGCAATTCCAGCAGCTCCACGTGCCGAGGGCTGCAGTTTTCAGCCGGTCACGAGGTGGTGGCAGCGCCTGGGTAAGGAGAGACACTTGTAATTCATTAGTGCTTTGCAAAGGGCACCGGTACTTGACTCTGTTTGTGCATTAGCAGAGGCTGATTCCTGCTCTTTACCTCCACGGCAACGGCTGGAATGGCACGGAGCAGCTCCCGGGGGCCGGGCTGGCAAACACAGCCGGCAGAGAATCTGCAATGGGCCGGCTTGGAAATAACTTAAAAACCACCCAGTGCCACCTCTGCCACGGGCAGGGACAGCTGCCACTGTCCCAGGCTGCTCCAAACCACATCCAACCTGGCCTTGAGCACTTCCAGCTTCTCTGGAACCTGTGCCAGGGCCTCCCCATCCTCACAGGGAAGGATTTCTTCCTCGAATCCAAACTGAATCTGCCTTCCTTCAGCTTGAAGATGCTCCCCTTGGAGTGGCACTGGCCCTGGAGCGGGTGAGAGGAGCCCGTGCACTGCTCCTGCTCGCCAACAATTACTGATTAAAACTGGTTACAAAGGCAGGGGAGGCTGAAATGTGCATTAACGGGTGACCCTGCCTCGTGCCAGCCATGGGGAGAGGGGAGCAGGTACAGAACGAGCACCGGCAGTGTCCCCATGGCCTGGTGACACCCAGCACGGACCTGCCACCTCCTGCAGCCACGGAGCCCGGGCTCTGATGTCACAGAAACATCAGCCACAATAAAAAGCAGGAGAAAGTTCCTGCTTCTGCCTTTTCTAAGCCCACAATGCATTTTGGCCACCAATAAAACTGCTCAGGATTTGTACAGGGCTTTACCTCTTCAAAGCAGCAGCTTGTTCCTCTCAGCCCTTTCATCCAGACATCCAAAGTGCTTCCTACCCTTTCACAGCCTTTTGATGGGTGGGGAATTCCTCTTTTTTGATATTGAACAAGTGAGCCAGGCTGGGCTGTGGGCTCCCAACTCTCCTGAGCGGAGGTGGAGCCCAGGCCAGGTCCCGTCCCTGTCCCTGTCCTGCCCCAGCAGTGCCTGGTACCCGGCACAGGAGCCCTGAGATGAGATGGTGGAAGGGGGGAACACCGGGAGGGGAAGAGCGCAGCCCCCAGGCCGGGCCCGGCATCACCCCCGGGGCAGCACCGACCCCTAAGGAGAACGGGCGGGCGAGCGGTCGGTGCTGACAGCCGCGACAGCGCGAAAGGCAACGCCCGCACCCATCCCGCATCCATCCCGCACCCTCCGCATCCATCCCGCACCCTCCGCATCCATCCCGCATCCATCCCGCAACCCCCGCATCCATCCCGCACCCTCCGCATCCATCCCGCATCCATCCCGCATCCATCCCGCACCGATCCCGCAACCCCCGCATCGATCCCGCATCGATCCCGCACGTCCCGGCAGCGGCGCGGACACCGCAAGGTCAGCGGAGCCCCGCGCATCCCACACATCCCACACACCCCACACACCCCGCACAAATCAGAGCCCCGCACACCCCGCACAAATCGGTGCCCCGCACACCCCGCGCGCCCCGCACACCCCACACGCCCCGCACATCCCGCACATCGCAGAGCCCTGCATATCCCGCACACCCCGCACGCCCCGTGCCCAGCCGGTGGCACCGGAGCCAGGGGAGGCTGCGGGGCCCCGGCCCGGCCGCTCCGCCAATGCTCCGCCACCATCAGCAATCAGAATTTCCGCCGGCCGCTCATACAAAATCAAGAGGCAAAATAATTGAGTCAATAGCGCTGCGAAAGGATTGCTCCTTCAGCCCCATTCTTGTGCTAACAATCCTCCAGCAGGGCCGAGGATTCAAAAGCTCGGAGAATCAAAAAGGAATTGATTTGATTCAGAGCTTTAGCCCGGGCTGTATTTAACACATCATTTTTGCTTGCTCTACATAGAGCAGAAACTGTTTGAAGGCAGAGACGGGGGAGCACAGGAGCAGGAGAATATTCTGGATTTGCTGCTTTTCCAGGAGAGTTGGACACACACTGTCCCCCCGAGGGCTGAGAGACCCTGGGGACCCACACAGAGACACCCAGGGCTCCAAATCCCCCGAGCACCCACCGAGCCTGCACTAAAGCGGGAGCAGAGGAAAGGAAATGAAGGGAAGGAACACCCGGGCACTTGTTCATTATAGCTGTGATCATTTCTGTGAGCCCTTCTCGGCCTGCTTTTTATCTGTGACAGGGGCAGAAAGCTCCTCATCCCACTCCAGCTTCCCGCCAATGAAGGCAAACTAGAAAATGCAGAATTTCCCCAGATTCCATTAAACGTGAGGGCAACGACCACTGGGAGAGGATCAGCCACAAGAACAACTCCCCAGCCACTCCAGGGCTGCTCTAGAAACCACACATTAAAACATCAGCAACGCTGAGGCACCTCCGAACACCCAGGGCTGAAACACTTCCAGAAAAACCTGAATGAACTGCAGAACAAAACCCAGCAAGTGCCAAGAACATTCCAGCAGTTTCTCTGCTCGCCGTGTGGCACATGGAGCTCTGTTAAAGCCTCTTGGGTCGTTTCACCCCTGACAGAGCCCAGCTGGAGGCTGGCACAGCGGGGACCCCCAGACCCCCACCCAGGCAGCTGATGGGATGTGTTGATGAGCCAGTCATGTCGCTGTAATAAGGAGTGTTTATTTGAATAATAAGGTCAGGGAGTTAAGTAGTTGGTATTCCACTCGTAGGAAGCAGTTTGCACAGTGTCACTAATAATTAAAGGGGTTTTTTGACTAATCTAGTTGCTCTTCCTAAATATACTCCACTCTGTTCAAGAAACTCATCAAAGCAGCGAAGTGATCTTCGAGGTTATTAATCTCCTTTGCTCCACAGCTGGAGCAAATTTATTTGCTTGAATTAGCATGTAATAAACTTATAATAAAGCTGCCATATCCCTCGCTTTAGAGCTATAGTTTGTGTAATGGGTAGTTAAATGTAGGTAATGCAGCCATGGGCTGTGGGAAAGCAGGAGCTCACCACAGTGCTGTGCTATCCCAGCACTGGGGCTCAGCGGGATCCCTGCCAGGCCGGGAAAAGCCAAACTTTTTGGAGGCCAGTGGGGCAGAAATTAAGGAGAAATTGTTCCCTGTGAGTTTGGGGAGGGCCTGGCAGCCACAGGGTGCCCAGGGCAGGCTGGACAGGGCTGGGAGCACCCTGGGACAGTGGAAGGTGGCCCTGCCCATGGCAGAGGGGTGGAAATGGAATCTTTAAGGTCCCATCCAAACCATTCCGTGACTCTGTGGCTCTGCCAAGCCCATCAGCAGCCCCTTTCCCATCTCCAGATCCCCAGGAACACTGAGACCTGTTTATCAAACCTCACAATACAGCAAAGGAGGGGTCCCCACAAACAGTGGGTACCTTCCCTGCCACCAAGGGAGAATTAGCCCCAAAAACACCCTCAGGCTGCCCAGGAGGGGCGAAGACCCAGCACGGTGCAGACCCAGGAGCAGCAGGGGATGCTCGGGGTGGCACCAGAGCCACCAACACCAGCAGCACCCTCAGATTGGGAATATTTCAAACAGGGCTGAGCTCGGCACAGGGTGTCCAAGTGAGAGGAATTAATTTGCTCCAGTTCACAAAGTTGAGCCTTTCTAGGCTGCAGCTTCCCAGGAGCAATAAATCCTCTGCCCTCCCCTTCCTGCAGCGCTGCTCCGTGCCTGGGAGGGGCAGGTGAGACGGATGGGGCCCACAGCAAAGTTCAGCTGCACAGGGAGCCTGGCCCCCACCTCCTCCTCACAGGTTATTATTCACACAGCCCGGGCAGTAAATAATTTTTCCCTCTCTCCATTTCAGCTCTTTTCTGCTCCTGCTCCGCGCTGGAGCAGGGCCTGAGCATTAGCCAGAGGTGTCAGAGGTGTTAGACAAGGTATTAAGGAGGTGTCAATGGTGAAATAGCTGGGATTACAGTAAAGTCTAAATAAGGTGTAAAATAAAACCAAAGGTGATAAAGTCGTTGATAAGAAAAGCTGGAGAAAAAATAGGAGTGCAATTATTTTTCATCCTGCTTGTTCCCTCTCACAGTGCATTATCTATGGCTTTGCAAAGACTTAAGTGAGATTTTTTTCCCAGTCTATGGTATTTTCTGCAGGCAGCTCCACAGCCCCTGCACGGCAAGGGAGCATCAGCAGCTGCACACAGACCCACACCTGCCCAGGAGATGCCCCTTGCTCCTCCCGCATCCCGGTGCAGGGGACCGAGGGGGTCCTGGGCAGGCTGTGACCTTGGCAGGGCCCTGAGCCGGGCTCACCCTCCATGGCAGGAGCGCATCCACCATCCCCACCGCCCTCACCAGGCTCAGGAGAGCTCAGGAGAGCTCTGCTCCCCCGCCCGAGCCAGCCGTGCAGGGGGAATGCAAGAAATTACTCCGGATGGCAAATGTACAAATTAGCCTCGATTACTCTCCGGGTCTCACAGCCTCCTCTTCCTCGGGCTCATCAGCCCCGTGTGTCTGCAGAGCTGCTCTGCCCCTGCAGGGCTCGGAGCCAGGGCAGCCCCTCAGGGCTCCCCGCAGCCCCCAGGGCCCCTCCAGGGCACCCCCAGGAGGAGGGAGGCGCCTTTGTGCCTTTTCAGCAGCCCGAACTGCAGGGGGATGCAATGGCAGGGCTCTGCTCAGAGTCCCTGGCTCTGGCCCTGAACCCTGGCCCTTTCTGACAGACACAAACCAAAATCAGGGAGGTTTTTTGGGGTTTTTTCAGAAAAAAAAATCACAGGGGAATAATTCTGGTGAGGAAAAAAAAAAAGTTATTTAAAAGCACATTCATCTGCAATTCTCCCAGTGCTGTGAAGGGTTATTAACTGATTGGATTTCATCACATCCCACTTTGCTGCTCAGAGGCTGATTGTCCCAGATTTGCATTTCTCCTGGACAAGCAGCAGTCCCGGCCCCAGGGTGGGCACAGGGCCGTGCCATGGCAGCAGCAGCTCAGCTCCAGCCCATCATGGTCCAGGAACAGCTCTCCAGGAGCACCTGCCCAGCAAAGCACCACAAAGCAGCAGCAATTCCATATGGGCGTGCAGAACAGCCCAGCCTGGCCTGGGGATGAGCAG